TTTGCCTCACCACTCGGCATACCTACTTTCCTAAATGCCAGAGGGGCACAGACCACTATCGACCTGTGTTGGATCAATGCAAAGTGCAAAAGACATGTTCAGCAATGCTCGGTTGAGCTCGACAACCACGCGTCTGACCACCAACCGATACACTTATCAATCTCAATTGAAGGTGACATCCTCATACCCCCTAGTAACAGAGGTATCACCCCGGAGAGGGTAGATAGAGAGCGTTTCACTAAAGATCTTGAGAACGTGATCAAGACCTTTCCCCCCCCTACTCCTCTGACCCTTTAGAATCCATTGATCTAGCTGTCTCCCGACTAACAGAGGGTATTCAGCAGTGCCATAAGCTAAAAGGCACAGCACCCTGGAGAGGGACCTCTCGATCCAACTCATGGTGGGATCCCCGGATCCTAGGACCACTGGTCACAAAGAGAAACAGGGCCCGGAGATGGATGATATTATCCAACTCTGAAGAGTCGAGGCAGTGCTACTACGCCTGGCAAAGGGCTTTCAAGCTAAAGGCTGAAGAGCTAAAGCTACTACATTGGAGGCGTCTCTTAGCCAGAACAGCAGACGCCTCAGCGCTTCCAAGCTTATAAACTCACCAAAGCTAAACAATCTTCCACGGTTGAACCCCTCTACCAACAGGACAAGTCTCTTTGCACAGATGTAGCCATCCAAGCGGAAATCCTGTTCCATGGCACCTCGGTCATAAACTCCCATTGTGATCTATCTGACATCCCTCCTAGAGAGGCGGGGAACTCCCCTCCCTCATTCCCCCCCATAACGCTGGCCGAAGTAAGCCGCGCAATCGACTCTCTCCCCTCCAAGAAGGCAGTTGGGCCTGATTTTATCCCAAACGAACTGCTGAAAATGGGGAAAGCCCAACTCGGCCCCTTCCTTACCCCCCTTTTCAACACCTGCTTGCGTCAAGGGCACTTCCCAACAGGATGGAGATCCGCCATAACAGCCATAATCCGGAAAGCTAACAAACCCGACTACAGTGATCCCAACGCCTATCGCCCCATAGCGCTCCTGTGCACCCTGGGGAAATTGTTTGAGAAGATCCTGAATGAACGATTGATTCACTGGATCGAAACCAAAGAAATCCTTCCCCAGGGACATATGGGCGGAAGAAGAGGCCGCAATCTCGTAGATGCCTTGATTGTTTTCACCTCGTGGGTAAAACATCAATGGAGAAAAGGGAAAATAGTAGCCGGGTTGTTCCTCGATGTCAAATCTGCTTACCCATCCGTATACACGCCCAGACTAATTGACCGCCTTCATAACCTCTCCTGTCCTAAGTATCTGATCACAATAATCTCCTCTTTCTTGACTAACCGATCAACTTCCATGAAATTGGGAGACTACATTTCTTCTTCCTTCCCTATCAAAGAGGGGCTTCCACAGGGTTCCCCCCTATCTGTCACCTTATACATCCTTTATAACAGCGGCCTCCTGCTCAACAAGACATGTTCATTGGAAGACCCCAGAATCTCCATCGGATATGTCGACGACGTAGTCCATCTGGTAGCGGCAAACTCATTAGACCAGGCTGTGAACATGCTCAAAGAAGACGCTTCACGCTCCCTTCAATGGGGGCGGAAGTATGGAGCCATCTTTGATCCCAAAAAAGCGGTGCTGATGCTTTTCTCCCACAAATCCTTGACACCCCCAACTTTTGACTTTGACGGTCACACCCATGTGTTCCAGAAATCCACCAGATGGCTCGGAATTATCCTCGACCAACGACTAACCTTCTCAGAACATTTGAAGAAAGTAAAAGCTACCGGAGACCTCACCATCAACCAACTGGAGAGAATTGTCAAGTCGACATACGGACTGAACACAGCGCTGACAAGAAAACTGATTATTTCAGTTCTCTACTCCAGAATTTTGTTCGGCAGCATTATATGGTACAATAAGAAGAATGAAGCTACTGTATCAAAGGTACTAGAAGGATTATATCACCGAGCATGCCGGTTGATCACAGGGCTGTTCCGACAGACCCCGCTTGTGTTTGTCAGGAAGAGCGGCGGGGTAGCGTCCCCTGTAGAGATCCATATGAGAAACTCACACTTTTACATCCTTCGAGCCTTGACTTACCCCCCATCACATCCCGTTTTACATATTCTAAAGAAGGAACTAACTGACAATAAGCCCTCTTTTCCAAGCCCCATTCATCTACTGAAAAGCCCCACTGACCTCCGCTGCTTCCCAATAAACCAAACGGAAACTATTCTTCCAGTCCCAGCTCCACCATGGATCAGCCCAGTTGCAGAGATACAAAAATCTGTCAGACAGGCGAACGGAGGCTTTGAAGAAGATCCC